TTGATCTCTTTCACCTATTTTTTCTCTTCTTTTGTTGTATCTTGCTATCTTCTTTATCTTTCTTATGTTCTTTATCTTGCTATATTCTTTTTATCATGTCATTTTTATCGTTATCTTATACGGAGTATTACATATCTATCTTTATTTTATCCTTTTTATCTTACCTTCTCTTTTTATCTTTCTTATCTTTTTTTTAGACTCCAATATTATGCATTGATTCATGTTAGCCGACCCCAAAATCTTTTGGAACTAAGACTTGGATTGTTTTGTTGTAATGCGATCTTACGGGAATGTAAGATTACCAATGCAATGTGAGATTACAAGACTTTAAGGTCACTGGGTGTGTTTTGTTGGAATGATAAAAATATTATTTTAGTCCCGCATATAATAAAAATATGTAAGAATACATGACTTAAGGGTAGTAGAACATTACCAAGGTAAGCTTACATTACCTAAAACCCCAAGGTAGTATTACCTCATTTTCTTAAGTGTACTGCTAGCTAGTATTGCCTCAATTTCTTATATTGGTGTAATATAAGATTACTCGATAATCTTAAATGTTGAATCAAACAATGCTATCTTACAGTATCAAATGAGGCAATCTGACTTTACCTAACATTGCCTAGAAATTTTTAGATAGTTTGATCAAAATACCCCCTAAGCTGTTTGGGTACAAGTAACGTGATTTTACTTATCTTGTGAAGTTGGTGACAAAATCCTAATAGTCCTTGTAGTATACCTCATTTTCCCAGCTGCTGGCAATACCAGTCCACTTCCTTTGCTTGAACCAAACAAGGCAATGTTTCATTACCTTTCTCACATTGTGAGGTAATGTGGGATCACGTAGCGAAAGCCACCTTAAAGTGAAAGGGCTATAGTAGGCTGAAGCTTAGTCAACTTGATTTTTTCTTAATTTTTTTAATGCAAATTCTTTCATTCTTTTCAATTTAACCCATTTACTATTGCTTTATGCCTAGTATAACCACATTTCCAATCCAAATGTCTGAATCCGCCACCGGCTAAAGTGTATCTGAAGTTTAACTTCTATTTTATCGTCTAAACAATCTAAACTTGTTTCTGGCATCCCTCTTTCAGGAAGAAATAAAAAAGGCATTAGGATTGAATTCAGAGGCACCTCAGGCACTTTCATAAAATCATATATGCTGAAATCTGAATGCATCAAAGTAGTATCGTAATTCATATTGCTACCTTGGATGAAGTGATCTTCATAGAATGAATGACAGATGGTTTAGTTCCTATTTGTGTTCATCTGGTATACTTTGTTTTCTTACTTCCTATTGAATAAACTATGCATTGTTCTCTTCAACGTTGATGCTCTTTAGATGAATGTAATTACAATCATTTTTATGCTAAAAACAAGAATAAAGAACACATGTTTGTCTTACGTAGTATGATATTCTTGGTACAATGTTTGTACCAAGAATAAATGAACACATGTTTGTAATATTCTTAGAAAAAACGCATTCCATATTTGTCTTATGAATATCAACGATACAATATTCCTTTCATACAACTTTGTACTGGTTAATGGAGCAAGTCGGATTGCTAACCATTTATCAGACCTAAGGTTCACCTTGGCTTTTAAAACTTTCATACTTCTACTAAACGTACCAAATTGCTACTCTTAAATAAAAAAAGAAAAAAACTAAAATACACAAGTCCGAAGAGACTAACAATAAATAATCGGCTAAAAAGTAACAAAATAAGCTCGATAATTTTTACACAGGCAATGTGCCGCTTGAACAAGCCATGGAGCATCAGCCAGCATCAAAGAGTTCTCAAATTTCCTAGCTTTCAACCCCTGGCAGTCATTTCTTCCACCCCTTTAGTACTACCTCCGTTTTTAAATAAGTGCAACATACCAAATTTTACACTATTCATATGTTCTACTTTGACTACATTTTATTTATTCATGTATTAATATATATTTTTGAAAAAAATATTACTAAATTTGTCTCATTCTAAATTTTTAAAATCGGATTTTTTATTTTTTTAGTAATAGGAAGTTATATATATTAATAGTCAAAGTTGTGCCTCGGCAAATGTGAAATGTTGACCGTTGCACTTATTTAAGAACGGAGGAAGTATATGTCATAAAAGTGTAAAAAATAATACTCCGTACTTCCTCTATCCCAAAAAATACTTCCCCATTTCACTTGACACGTTTATTTAAAAAGTGAGAAGAAAGTGGAAATGTATGATTGTGATTGAGTAAGAAAAAGACAAATGAATGTAAGTCACACAAACTTTTCCAAAAAGAAAATGAGAAGAAAATTTTAGGACATCATAAAATGGCAAGTATGATGAATTTTGTGGGATAGAAAGAGCATCATATTATATGTAATTATGTATGAATGTATGATAAGTGAGAAGAATTTTGTGAGCCGGAGGGAGTATCATATTATTTGTATTAATGTATAAAAGAATACATATAATGACCATCGCGCCTTGTTCCCTCTAAAGTCTACACACACCCCTACATTGCAAGATTATCATGCAATAAAATAATCAAAGTCTAATAAAATAAGATTAGCATGTAAAGCTAAACTGATTATATTTCTACAACATAGGACATTCAAAATCTGATTAAATCTATAAAATAAACGATGTGAAAATTGATTGTCATGTTCAATATGATGAATTTAAAACTTTATGTCCGAATCCATCTCAATACAACATAATTGTATACTAGTAATTGCTACGAAATTTCCATCAATATGCATAGTCATTGAGTTCACTCTTGTAAAAGGGCGTTCTCTCGATTATGGCAGAGTGAATGTGTGATACGTAAATACTTTATGCTCACAACTCACAAATACATTTGAAAATAAGTTTGACACGCTTATTATCAAAGGTAAATGGTCATAGACTCATGGTACTTATTGGAATTGCAAGCATATTTAAAACAAAAATTTATATAAACGTAATTGTTTTATTTAAATTGAAAAAAATATCACGATAAAAAAAAATGAAAAAATATCTTCCTCTATGTTCTTCTAGCATTTCAGATTCATAGTCAAACAAAGCACTCTTATGGTCATACTCCGTACAAAACAATCTTTTGTCATTTACTTCATGCATCAAAATTTTATGATGTTCAATTAATGAAACTAAAATTTCGTGTCAAGAAAAATTTTCAATAGTAGACTAGTAGCTCAACAATATGTTTTGTTACTTCGATCCCAAAATTCAGGAGGGCGAACTAAATAAATAGAGATGTATCCTACAGAATCGGGATATGATGGATGAAATGGAACATCGTGTTAGAATTTTCACGAGATATGTTGATTAGACTAAAAGATAATTTTTTTGAACAAAGTAACTAGGTATGTATTATTTAATGTCACTTTTAAATATGAGTGCGATTGAGATGTGTATGCTGCGTTGGATGTGTGAATACACTAAAAGATCATTTGAGACATTGAGAAAATCGCAAAAAAAAAGGGAGGAACACTTATTGAAGTTAGGATGCAAGAGTCTCGATTGCTTAGCCATATCCGTAAAAAAAATGAGTGATGCACTTTTGGCCGTATCGATATGTATATATATATATTAAAAAAAAGAAATAAGAAAATAAAATGTATATTTATTTCCTTTTTTTTATCTTTCTTAGCGGCTTTATCTTTTTATTTTATATTATCTTTATCTTTATCTTATTTTTTTGTTATCGTTTTTCAGAAGAAATTCCACTTATGGCCCTTCGAGTTTTGCACCAATTCCACAATTAGTTCTCGTCTTTCACTTTATCTATTTTTGGTATCTGACTATGGTTTTCTTAACCATATATAGTCCTTTTCCGGCAGTAAAAATGTCCAGAGATGGACCGAAAATGGTCAAGAAAATAATAGTCAAATATTAAAAATGGATAAAGTGAAAGACGAGTACTAAATATGAAAATGACGCAAAACTCAGAAGAGGGAAATTAATTCTCTTTTTTCATGTTATCTTATCCTCTGTGGCTTTGTAGTTCTAACGGAGTATTTCATGTTGATTGATGTGAACCGATTCCAAAAGCGGGGATGTAGGTGTTGTTCAATAGCTTAACAATTTATGTTATTTTAGAGAAAAATATTTTTGAACAAATATCAAGATTAAAATGGTCTGAAGACACTCAATTTCTACTAAGAGCATGTACAATATTATACTCCGTACAGTACTTAACAAAGGAATATATTTAATTATCCTAAGTTTGAGAGACAATTGATAATTTTACGAAACTTTATGATAGATAAACGTAATTAAACTGAGGATGTATATTACTCAATATAACTAAAGGGACACAAATTGAATTTTCATAATTGATTATTCGAGATTTTTGTTTTGGCGAGAACTCCGGTATCCATTTAAAAAAGGCTAAAAGGTCAAATAGGTACATGAACTAACTTAAAGTGTTCAATTAGCCCCTTATATAAGAAGGTTCTGCCCGGCCGTCGCCAATTGGGGCGGTTCCCAATTGAATTTTTTGATGAATTTTTTTGACTATCTTCTTCATTAAGTCTAGTTTACCCATTTCAAATTTCAGCTAAAAATTAAATCGGGAAGACAGTCAATTGATTTTCCAAAATGTACTGCACTGTTTAATTGCGCAGTTATCTTCAAAAAATCATTTGACTGCCTTCCCGGTTGAATTTTTGGCTGAAATTTGGTATGGGTAAACTAGACTTAATGAAGAAGTTGCTCAAAAAAATTCATAAAACAATTCCACCGGGAACCGCCCCAATTGGCGACGGCTGGGCAGAACCTTCTAAATAAGAGGCTAATTGAACACTTTAAGTTAGTTCATGTACCTATTTGACCCTTTAGCCTTTAAAAAATGGAGTACTCATGGGCGGAGTTAGGGGTGGGCCAACCTAGACCATGGCCCACCCCAAATTTTAAAAATGACTTAATTTTTAACGTAAAAAATTTCGTTTAATTATTTTTCTAAAATATTCTTTGTACCGGTCCAGTCCAACCCAGTGCACGGGCTCCGCCTCTGGGGGTACCGTACCTACCGCTAACTTGATTGGTCCAAATAGGTATATCATTTTTAATTTAGACTTAAATAAATCAACTGCAACATTCTGATTGGTCCATGTGGACAAATGTATGGTACCTTATGAGTACCATGTAATCTACCTTTTGTTTTTTGTCAAAATTATTCTAAATTTAAAAATAACATTATGAAGCTGAGGATGTAAAATTGAAGTTAGCGCAATTAGTCTGCCTTCCTAGCAGTGTGGAACTGAAACCCAATCTCGAACCTTCCAAGTCCAACTGCAAAAGATTGTCTTCGATTTGGTGACCGCCAATGACGATTGAAGTCCCAAGGTTCCGGCCTCCGTCCAACACCGCCAGGCACAGCACATTCTTCCCGGAATCCCGCAAGTCCACCATGGAATTCGCCCCCGTGATCGTCCACTTCGCACCCTGCCCTCCCAGAACCAGAGTGATCCACGGCACCGATGGCCCCACACGCGTGCTGAGAATGTTCTCCGCACCGAAACACACCTCGAAAGGTGCCACCAGCGCTGCCGTTCTGGTAATGTTCCTCTCGGCAGCCTCCTTCACGAACGCCGCCGTCACCGCCTTGAAGATGGAGGTTTCCATAACCGTGTAAGGATCGACGGTGCTGATCTTCGTTCCTACGTTGCCCTTCTTGTCAATTGCCAACAACGACGTGTTCAGCTTCACCTCTTTGTCCCCAATTTGGATCGATTTCACACCGATGAAGTACTCCGACGAAGCTCCTGCGGAACTCACAGGGTTGATCAGCGGAGTGTACGTCAGAAGCTTTGACGCATCAATATTAGGGAGCAAATTATACGGCCCGTCGCCGTAGAAGACAACGCCGGTCGATGACGACAGACAAATGGCAAATTTCCGGCGGAAGCTGAAACCGGAGGAGAACTGTGAAGGGATCCCGACCTTTGTCCTGCCCAGACCCGCAATTCCTGTTGCGCCCTTCGCCAGACCCTTCAGCACAATAGCCGGAGCGCAACTGAAGATGAATCGAGAAACCGCGGCGGGTCTTCCCGGAGTCGACCCGTCGGTGGAAGCAACGGAAACGACGTCCTCCGCGAGCTCGCCATTGGTGAGGGTGAGAGAGATGGGATTATAAGGAAAGGTGCTGCAAGTGTTATTGTTACAGCCAGGGCGAGGTGCAGAGTAGCAATCTCCGCAGGCGATGGGCCCAGCGAGGGAGCACTGGGCGGACCGGCACCGTACCGGGTGGTAAGAAGAGGAGACGTATTTCCCGGAGCAGTCAACCCACAAGATCTCGCCGCCGAGATGAAGGACGAGGGTGACAGGCACTAGCGGTGACCTCTGGTTGATTCTGGTGAGGTATTGGAGGGTGGAGGCGTCTTTAGTGACAGGGGCGACTAGAGCTTTCGGGCGGAAGGATTGGGCTGAAGATGAGGAACAGAGAAAGAGGAGGATTGAGAAACAGAGGAGCTCAACAATGGAGGATGAAGCCGCCATCGCTGTCTTTGAGGGAAGTAGCTAGGCGGATGGTCCCAATTATTTATACACCTTATTTATATGCAGCAGTACTGTTGGAAAGATTTGTGAAAAAAAAGGAAGCCGGCTTGACTAAATTGGGTTTGACTGGTAGTCTGGTAGCATACTACCCTTTGTTAACGATTATGACTCGTTCAAGTTCTAATTTGGGGTTGACTCAAAATAAAGTCAAATATCCATAAGTATAGTTCAATTAATGCTAATATAGCTCAACGATAGTATTATAAATGGGAAATTTCAGATCCATAGTTAGTACTTCTACCTCCATCCCATTTTATTTGTCTCACTTTGACTTGACACAATTATTAATAATGTGATTGAAAAAGTAAAAGTTGTGGTTGATGTTTGAGTATAATAAACTGAAATGGTGTAAGCCACATATTTCTTTCCAAAAGAGGAAAGAAGACACTTATTTTGGGACAATCCAAAAAGGAAAGTAGGACCGGTCAAATGTCACATTTTCATTTATTTTATAAATGTGATTTCCAAATGTCCAATTTTCTGTTAATATCATTGAATGTCATGTTAGATCAAAAAACAAAAGACAAGGATGACATTTGAAAAAAAATTGAACGGCTTAGAGCATCCACAATGCTTAGATGTCTAGTCCTAAAAAATTATGCCAAATGGCTAAATATTACGGAGTATGTAGTAATAGGCTTTCTACTTGAGTGTAATGACTGGATACTAAACTTTAATAGAAGCCTCCAATGCACCACGCCTCACATCGAAGTCTAATGTCTATTTCGTTTTTAATTAGTATTTCTTTCGTTCCAAAATGGTTGACCAAATTTTTCATTTTAGCCGTCCCAAAAAGGTTTGTCATTTCCATTTAAAGTAAGGAATATGTGGCTACAGTTAATTCTCTCTCCTCTGTACAAATTTCAACCACACAGTTTTTACTTTATTAATCCACATGCAAGTCAACATTGGCCAACGATTTTGGGACGGAGGGAGTATATTAAAATAATACGGAGTACTAAATTTTACTGCGTAATATACTTCATATGTTGTTTACCAATGGCCATGTAATGTATACACACGCTGACACGCTTGACCCGCCTTTACACCCACATAGTCTCCAATGGATGGTCACAGATTCAGTTTAGTTGTTCACGTGGAAAGTAGATCGGCCGTCGGCGGAATAAGACCAGATCTGCCTATTCCACGATCGGAAAGGAGGTCGGCGTCTCGACGATGAGGATGATAAAGAGAAAAAAATTGACATACCAGACAACCAATTTGTGAACATAGTTCGTTGTTTCAATGATTTGAAGAAAGAAGTTCTGTGAAATGAGGTATGTGGGGAGAGAGATGGGGGTGGTTTTCAATTTTTTGTCTCAAAATTGCGTTCAGCGGTTTTTTCAATAAAATTTGGTGACTCAGCAAGTTCTTAGGCCTTTCTACACCTGGAAACCCATGTTCACAGTGTGCGATTGTTTTTTGCCAACTCAGCCTATAGACTACATGCATTGGAGACATTTTAATGTATATAATGTTTAATGGTGACAACTCCGGTACCCATTTAAAAAATGGGGTATCATACCTATCATTCACTTGATTAGTCCACATCATTATATTATTTTTAATTTAGATTTAAATAATTCAACTGCAACATTTTCATTAGTCCATGTGGACAAAGGTATGGTACCATAGAATCTACCATGTCTAATTATATGAGGTGGCGTATTTTTCCTACACTAAACTAGCTGCATTGTGGATGCTCTTAGGAATCACATTTACAAAAATAAAAATATGACAATGGCATTTTAATTTGAGTATGAATTGAAGATCAAGTCTGTTTTCCCCTAAAGAAAATAATTGAGTGGGTATACAAGCACTGCAACCTTATTAACTACGTACGTAAATATGGATTGCCTCAACCAAGAGAAGGAATGGCAAACAAAGCACCCTTATCATTATGGAGTATATATTGAGGATTGAGGAGACAAATGGGAGAAGTCAACCGAAGTAGTCCAAAAGCTTATATGTTGTTTCTGAGGACAAATATTTTAACAATTAATAACTCATTTTTATTCGAACTACAAAATTAGTTTTCTTTCCTACAATAATTATTGTTTATCATACATGATACATGTTACATACGCAGTACGGTAGTATATACTATGTATCACACATGGAGAAACTTTGCAAATTCAGGTAGTATTGGCGCAATGAATTGAAGCGGCAAGTTAAGGCCCGCATATCCGCACCCAGTTACATTTCTCAGTACGAAATTTAAGGTCCATTACGTACATACTCCACAAGACCACAAGTCCACAGTATGGCTGCTTCTAACTTCTCCCTCCTTCGCAATCGGTGTTGCTTTCATCTCTACTAGCGGATCGCTGGTACTGAAATTGACTTTCCAAAATAACTTGATCGATGAGGGAATGATTTATTATGAGATGGCTTGAAGCTGCCATCGGTGCATCAGATTTGCTTATAAATAGGGTAACATTTGCGTAAATAAATGAACATTTTTTTGCTACGAAGTAAAAGTTAAAATGTTCACTTTTCACGTAAAACATTGTGCTTACTTGAATCACACCCTATATGTATAATGTATTTCATATTTTTCTTTTATCCCCCCTTGTATAATAAACGCAATCTTCGGTTAGCATGATTCTTTTTCCGTCAACTCACGTCAAATTTCTAACACCATTCTACGGTGTATGCGGTTCATTCTCATCCGATCGCTACAACAATTTCCTGCCTTCACCGTATAATTCCTACCAACCCATTTTCATGTTGCTTCCAATCAAACCTCCTCTGTTACTCGCTGCTCCTACTATCTTCCTTAGCCTTACTCTACTCCACAAACAACTAAACAAGGCATATCCCTACCTGCTTACCTATATATAGTACGATAGTATTAGATATATATGTTGTTTTGATTATTATAAGATTCTTATATGCAGGATGCAAGTGTTCAAAACTTTCTTGTTCATCTAATTCGATTTTCCACAACAAACTTCATTCATCAAAATTATTCTTATGCTTGCAAAGTGTTAGCCAAAATACCCCATTTGAAATACAACACCTTTCACATACTTCATTATACTATAACAACCATCACTTAAACTTAAGAAAATGCAAACACCTTACTTCAACATTATCAAAATCGCAGGCAGATTATAGGACAAAAAAGATGTAGTTTGTGTGAATACATTTAACACTACAAATATCAATTAGATCACTTTCAATTACAAAGAACATGGAACGATAGAAAAGAGATTTCAAACTAGAGTATATACAATTGTTAAGCCAACATTTTTTGTTTCTTTTAAAATTATATTCAACATTTTATAGTACTTTTACATTTAAATTTATATCTTTTATTTCTTTAATTTAGTTTTACCTATTTTTTCTATTCTTATATTTGGACTTTTAAATTCTATTTTTCTAAATACTTAGTGATATGCACTAATTAGTAGTGGATAAATGTATCTGTTTGTGTTTGATTTGTGTGGATATTGTTTACCATTTTATTTAGTTTGTAAACATTTGTGTGATTTTAGTTGTAATTGTATTTTAGTTCTCATTTGTAAGTTGTAAAGTAGAGTTAAGATTTATGGTGTTGGAAAAGAAAACTTTGAAGTGAGGTATTGCACCCGGTCGGGCAAGGCATTGAAAAGTGAAGGTGGCTGGAAACTACAATCACCCGGTCGGGTGAGGTATTTCACCAGGTCGGGTCAGATGTGACCCGGGACAAAATGACATGCTGAAACACAAGAACGTGAAATATTATCTGATTTTGACATGCACCCGGTCGGGTGGGCACTTGACCCGGTCGGATACCTGGCCAAAGATGTTGAAAAATACCTATAAATAGCACACTTTTCCTTCACTAATTTCCACTCTTTCTTCCATACTCTTAAGCTCAATTTAGAATAACATTTCTTTTATATTTTTATAGCATGTTTAGTCTCCAAATGAGGAGCTAAACTTCCATTTCTTGATGTTCCTCTTGAAGCTTGTTGATTATTAAAGTTGTGAGTTATTTTCTTAACTTCTTCCCTTGAATATTAATTTTTCCCTTAATCTCATTCTATATTAATGTTGGGGAGTGTTGCTATGATGACAATTAGTTAACATCTCGACGTTAATTATTACTAGAAACGATCAACGAACCGATGGTTAATCGTTGATGGTTTCACAAGTAAGTAACTTCGGTTTATTAATGCACGGTCGTAGTTAATAAACTTAAGAGAGATTAATTGTGTTGGTTAAACCAAAACCGTTGTGTTGAGGTTAACAATCTCAATTGATTTCATCAAGGAGTTAAGAGATTAAATGCTATACTATTAAATCGGTATACGTCGTTGTTCTATATTCGATTAATAGTAAGAGTTATTAATGAACAGTCGTTGTTAATAACTACCCTCGATGAATTGGAGATACTCCTCGATTGAGTATTCGAGAGGGGATAAGTTATAGATATAACAATGATCTACTAAAATATATCAACAAGTGAAAAGTAGTGTTTTTTATCAACAAATGAAAGGCCAAGTTCTTTTTATCTATTAATTAAACCACATAAGTCGTTCATCTTAGTGTTTAATTAAATTAAATCATTCAATCCCGAAACCCCCTTTTTATTTACTAGTTTTATAAAAAGAGAATTATTCCTTTCCCTGTGTATACGAACTCTACTACACTATACTACGTATAAGTGTTAGCATCAAAATTATTTTGACGCACTACGACAAAGTGATCGTCACTTACAAATAAATCGACCTGCTATATGTAGAAGATAAAGTCTGATAAAATAGTTGAACTAAATGTTTTTTTAAGTAAGCGTTCTGATAAGGTTTTGGATACTTTTTTGTATGAGGTTAAACAAAGACATACATGCTATAGCTGTCTACTTTAATTCGTTGCCTGATGTCAATATTTAAGAAAGTCAATTCTCCAAATCCAAAACTAATTTGGGTTTAGTTGTTTGCACACAAAAGATTGTGTTTCTTAAATAATGGGAGATACAAATGGGTAATGAGCGTGTTATTATTTTGATTAAGTATACAAACACGTATTGGGTAGGCATCACGGAGTATTGACAAGAAGGCAGATTTTTCTGGTCATCCCTAAAACAAATACCTGAAGAATGCTTCCTTGTTTCCCCTATACATGACCACGTAGCGCCTGGTATCGTGGCTGGTGAAGAGTATTGTAGGATTTGAACACCCCTTTTAAAGACACCAAATCCTTGAAGAATGTTTGTTGAAGACCTTAGGCGTAGTGTCCACGCCTAAGTGACATTTCCATCCCCACCAAGTAGACACATCTTCTCCAGCTTTTCTCTGAACTCAAGGTGAGTGGCGGGTGCAGTTTACCCGAGCCTGATTGGTTGTAAAGCCGGAAAATGATGAAGAAGCACCTGCATTTATTCAGGGAATGCAAGCCACAGACGGCCACCGGGTCCAGGACTGAAAGATAGAGTGTAGTGAAGAGGTGAATGAGGGAGGTTGCTTTTGTCCTCAATCATGGCATTATACTGAGTAGTTGAGTGAATCCTGTTGGTAAGGCCAATAAGGCCCATTACAATTTTTCAGTCTCGGGAAGGGTAGTATTAGTAAGTACTAGAAAAACGTTAACAATTAAACCCATTAGGGAAAATTAATTGTTAAAATAAATATGTAATTAATATACATGTTTGATTTAGGGTAAAATCTCACATGATCTCAATTGTCATGCAAGTTCTTTGAACCTATTTCACCACCACTTATGGATCCCTTATTTGCTATAGCAGTGAATTATAAATATGGTTTAGAGTGAAAAAATACCTGCCTTTAATTACCTGATAAAATTTCATTTACGTCTTGTTACCTAATGAATAACTGGTATTCAAATGATGGATGATAATTTAAGTATAAAAAGTAAAAGGACATGTAACTTAGTGCTGATTTTTCACAACCAAACACACACAAAAACTTTCTCTCTTCTCTATTTGTCTTCACTGATGATGAAAACTACTACAAGACCAGTTGTTGGCAAAGCAGCCACAAGTGCCATAAAAGGGAAGTGCAAGCGTGTAGTTGATGAAAGCATGGCTCCAGATGGCACAACAACCATGGTGGACACCTTCCAAGAAGTGTTAGAAGCATCTAGCAAAAACAAAGAAAAAACACCAAAAGCATTAGTTCAAATCAATAAGTTAATATAATTGTGTTACGTCTCGCCAAGTATGTGTGATAGAGTATATGGGCCTAGACCCCATGACTCACATACTCAGAAGGTCAAAAAACCAAAGAGGGACACCCACGTGGCACTCTTCAGCCAGATGCAGGGCCGGCCCTGGGGCATGGGCAGGAAGGGCACGCGCCCAGGGCCATTTGCTCCACTAGGGCCCATAAATTTCTCAAATATATATATATATATATATATATATATATATATATATATAGATTTTGGTTCAGGTGAGAAATGCATCTAATGTGAGAAATGAGAATGAATCTCAGCCATTGGATTTACGAAGTTGCACTAAAATTGGCTTTATGTTGCAGTAATATTTAAATTTTGCACATGTTGCACTAAAACTGTTTCATGTTGCACTAATATTTGACGGCGTTGCACCAAAATAGCTTCATGTTGCACTAGACACGTGTAATACGGATTTTTCAGAAGTATTTACAGAAATGCCACCGTGCTAGATTGCATATTTCAGTGCATCATGAAGTGTCTTTTACTGCAACTTAGTCGAATCCAATGGCTGAGATTCATTCTCATTTCTCACCCAAAGGGTTCTTCTCACTTGAACCTTACCCTATATATATATATATATATATATATTAAAAATTGTAATTCATTGGGAACATGTTTTACCATTATATTTCTTTTGAATCATTACGGGTTATTACATTCATTTTAATCTTTTGGTGTACTTCTCTTGTGTATATCCAGAATTCTTTGATATAATTCACAAATTTTCTCGGGTTCTCTCATTTAATGAAAGATTGAACTATAGTGTGTCCATAATTTAGAAACTTAGAGTTTGTTTTT